GCTCTTCCATCGTGGTGCAGGCGAGGGGGGACACTGCTGGGAGGCCACAAATCTGGTCCCCACACATGAAGGTTAAAAAAGGGAGAAGTTTAGTCTCACTTTCTGCAATACCCACAGTCACAAATAAGCTGGTACAGAGCAGGAATCGGTGTGCGGCAAAGCGTGGCAGAGTTTCCTTTTCCCCCCAAGAGGCCAAGAGGCAGGGAGCGAGCAGAGTACAAACCAGACCTGGTTCGTGTCCTGATTCCTTATGAGGCCGTGCAAGCCTGGCCCATGGCTCAGGCTACCCTGCAGTCTTGCTTTCCAGCCCCATATGACTCCCTTCCCTTCCCAGCTAGACTTCGAACCGTCGCTAGTCAACATTGACCAGTAAGCAAGACTGTCTCCACGTAAGGCACCCCACGCATCGCTAAGGCATCACAGAACATGAAGCAGCTCACCAAGAACGTGTTAGTACAGAAACAATAAGGCTGATAATATATTTGCCTTTCCACTGTATTTAATATATTTATATTTATTTATATTCACCCACCCCTTCTCATTGGATATGACGAAGTATTTGCTCTGAATGTAGCCACCAGCTCAGCTGAAAAGCAGAGAGGTGTGACTGTGTTTGCCCGTTTGGTTCGGCCCTCTGTTCCCCCGCAGGGTCACAGCTCAAAGGCCGGGACAGCCGGCTCCCACGCAAGCGCCCCTTGTGCCGCGAGATCATGGAGCCCAGTCTGGGCACCCTCCCAGCCAGCTGCCCATGTTCCCCACTCAAATCCGGAAGACAAGAAAAGCTCATCCAAAATGCAGAGGAAGAGGGGATGTGCGCTACCTTTAGCTGGTCTTTTCACAAAAATGTCATTTCAATTCACTTTTTCCCAAATACAGAGCCCAGTGATTGGTGCTAAGAAGATGGAACTGAAAATTAAAACTGTAAAATAGGATCAGCGCTGGGCTTTGGTAGTGTCCGGTATTCAACCCAGCACAGCCAGGAAGGAAATAGTTTGAAAACACCAGATGCTCTTCGCAACTGGTATTTTGGATGTATTTCCAGCAGCAATTTCTCCCCTCCCCATGAAAACAGACACACATTCTCATTTAACAACTAATTGATTTATTTAACAATACAAATTTCTTCCTACTGCATGGTTTAGCAGAGAGAACTTGAGAAACAAAATTAGCTTCTTTTCTTTTTTTAAAGTTTAATTGTTTACACAAAAACAACCTTTACTTCAGTAAATATAAAATTTACACACAAAAAACCTACATTAAAAAAGAACAGAATCATGACAAACCAACAAAAAAAAAAAAAAAAAAGGATGGGAATTCAGTGTAAAGGATCCAATTGCAAGGAAGGCAAGATGGGGCAACACTAACAAGGCATCCCACTTGTACACCTAGGTATCTGAAGTTGTAGGTACAATACAAAAACAAAATACATTAAAATTAGGATTAAAACCTGTATTTTCATACCATAATATTTTATGATATAAATATCTGTAAATTCTGTAGGCAACACAGTTAACGTGTGAAATACATAGTTTGCTCTTCACTGGAAAGTCACTGGAGTGGTGTACGAGCACCGTGTCACCCGCGAGTGTGCTAATAATGGTCAGCAGTGAGCAGACTTTCGACGTCCAGCCCAGATGTGATAGCCCCTTGTTTCTTTGCCAATCTGTGCTATTTCTCACACGTCCAACGACATAATGAGAAACTCTGGTCACCTTCAGCAGTGATTTCCAGCACTTCATCTCCTGGCATTAGTCTGTTACCTGACTTAGGCATATTCACCTGCCAGATCCCCTGTTTCTCATTCCCTTTTGCACTTTATAACCTGAACTCTAAAGCTATCTTGTAGCTACCAAGAGAGACTGGCTTCTAGGTTGAGATATTTGGGATACACAGTTCTTCAAGCCACCTTCAGGAATCTGTAGAAATATTTAAAGTAGGGTGGGCAATTCATGGTCAAAGGTTATGCGATACAAAAAACAGGGACCTATATAGTGACGGCTAACTTCAGATCTAAATCTTTAGCATTTTTTCTATTGCTTTAATATTTAAACTTAACATTCAGTTTTCATATATTAAATGAGCAGAGCATCTTATTGATGGAAGTGCTACATTATCTCCAAAAACACCAGGTAGTAAGGGAGACTGTAAAGTTTAAAATTAAGTGTAATTTTAAAAAATCATTTAAAGGGATCAAGTCTCTTTTTTATAATCAATATTGTGACTGGCAACCTATAAAAGCTTAAATTATAAAACTATTAGTGACTCTACTTTTTAAACTGTATGTACTATAAAGCTGTATATCTTTGTTACTTACAGATGTTACAAAATTTCCAAGCCAGAAAGTGAAGGAGGGGGGGGAAATGTAGTCTAAAAGTTTTACAGATTTCACTTTCACTAACAAAGGTTCATTTCCCCCCACAACTGTTTTTATGTCATAAAAATCTGATTAAATTTATTCTACTACTTTCTTTTCTGGACAGATGATACAGTGTTCAATCATGCTTTGGAAGACCATTTTCAATGGGTAACTGTAGTTCTCTAGATCAGCAAGTCCGACTTGGTTTACTCGGAAACACAAGCACCAGACTATCTCTAACTCGGCCCTCATCCTGCAAAAAAAATTTGTAGCAAGACTCAGGCAGTCTGTTACGAAAGCAGGACTGGCCCTGAAGCAACCAGCTACATTAACTTCTGGAGTGAGCATATGCATATCCCTCTCATTCCAACTTGAGAAAGAGCCGAACAGTATTAAACTTAAGGAAATTGCAGAAATTACATTTGTTCTGTAAAAAACAAAACAGGGAAAACTTAAGCAATCCACAGGTGTGCATTAAACATTTAACAGCAAGCCTTTGCTTATGTATATTAATTTAAAGATTATCCACAGGGATCTGTGATACATTGGCCCTGCCTTGTTACTATAATTAAATTTATTCAAATATTAATTTAAAATAGGAAAACAAAGAAACTACTCCTTGGGGAACATGTTTATTGTGTTTGAGATGATACACTGGGTGCTCTCTGAGCTACAAAGGGAAAAAGGAAATCCTTTCATTACAAACTGACAAAGGTAAAAGTTAAAACAGTTTTCACAACAGCATGTACCACATATTGGAAATAGATCTGGGTTTAATACAAATGACATAATTCCTAGTAATCTACAGCTACCTTTAATAACTTCATACAGATAATGAATTAGGCTAAAATGCACTATAATATTTGGTTGACTTCAGGAACAGTATCCTTAGTACATCACAAAATACATTTTGATATCCCAAAGAAGCAAGACTTGCAAGTAGGCATTTTAAACATAACTAATCTACAGCTACAAATTTCTACTCTTGATAGCATTTACCTTTTTGGGGGGCAGTATCCCAGTCTTCAAAAGGATAAAAGCAGAGTAGAATCAGTATAACATATACACAGAAGTCCGTATTGTAAAGGCTATAAAGATTTGTTGCACACTGCAAAGTTGCCTTCTGCACCTTCACACTGCACAAGTAGTTTGTCATTTATGTTGCATATCTCTTGGTCCACTGTCTGGCTATCCTGTCATGTTCTGCTCTGTTGGTCAGGTACTGAGTGGCTATGCTTCCAACCAGAGGGTCAGCTGCAAAAGGCAGGAGAAGATGCATTAGAAACCATTCCACAATAAAAAAAACCCACACACATGATTTAAAATACAGAATCTATTCCAAAATATAGTCTTTTTTAGGCCAGAAAATGCTAGATACAGTGGGACTAGACATTTCCAAGAGAAAACACAGAAGGCACAACGAACAGAAGAAGAAAACAGAAAAATCTGTTGTGGATATCTGCGCATTAATGAATCTTGCCCCAGCCAGGTGCCCTGCTTTCGCCCCTTTGGAAGGGCTGATGGGTGCAGGGGACGTTCAGCGAGCGCAGCCTGGCGCGCTCCTGTCACAGCGCTGGGACAAGACCAGTGTACGTTAGGGTCTCAGCGCTACGGGCACACACCGAGAGGATCCAGTTTGCTTCAGGAGTCATCAAACTTTTGTATCCAAGAGGCTAATCCATTTCTCCCTGATCATTACCAGTCTGCTGTAAATGAACTGTCACCTTAGCACTACCGCTCAGTTCCTGCCCTGACCGCAGGCAATTAGCATTCACTGCCTAATGACACTGGTCACGCAGTTGTGGCTGAGAAACTGTACTGCTTCCAGCGGAGTTCCTCCCCTCCCAACAGAACAAGGAACTCTCTTTGAAACAGGGAAAAATCTCGCTGAACATCATCCCCCTCACATTTGCAGGACTAAATGTTTCAGTTGCTGTCTTCAGAGAAGGGACTTCCTGTGGCCCCTTCCAACCTGCAGGATTTATGAGTTTGCAACTCAAGAGAACTTTGCTGCTTTCCCGGATCGACCACTCGCTGCAGCTCCTGCAACACAGACCTGCAATGACATCAGCTTATTTTCTGCACCATACCTTGGGGAAAAAAGGGCTTAATGCTATTTACTTTCTGTTGTGCCACAGGAGTGAAAAGTGCCATCCAAGCAGGAGTGTTTCATCCCCAATTATAAAAATATTAATTTTCATTTAATCTGCATATAATCAAATATGCAAATTACATTCCATGGCAAGTAAGTCAAACGACTAAGGGTGGACGCTCAGTGAACTATCAACTCCTTACCCGGGTTGCAGTCTGTCAGAAGAGAACAAATAGACAGCAGAACCTTTGAAATAGTCAAAGCAGGGCTCCAGTTGTCCTTCAGGATATCCAGACAGATGACTCCCTGACTGTTGATGTTGCAGTGATAAATTCTGGTACGGAAAGTAACCTAGAATCACAGCATAAGGGACAGAGAAAGAGTCACTCAGTGTTGCCCAGGGATGCTGCTCCTTGTCTCAGAGCAGCAGCAGCGGCTGGGGTGCTCCCTGTTCTGCAGAGCTTCTGTGGAGGCAGTTCCTCCCCGCTCGTTTTCTAAAACACAATTATTTAACAGAAGAGAGCGTATTTACTGTAGTCATGGCTACCTTTAAGAAACCTACCGTGGAGATCTTTGGTGCACAAACTGCTTTCACACAGGCCCTCTGTCTGGTACGCACAAAAATCAGGACCTACTTTGTAGCACTGTACGCTATTTAATGAACACACTGCGTGTCAGGAATGATCTAATCACAAACATAACTTTCCTGTGGTTTCTGAAGGTGAAGAAGTAGACAGAATTTGGCTGCATGTGCAGTATTAGTTGATCTTTTCCTTTCTTTCAAAAGCCTAAAAATTATTATTTAAAATTGGAGTATTGTATTATTCTTGTTCAAATTAACAATGAAATCTTTGCCTTACCCTTCATTAGGCAGGACACCATATACATCCAAAACAATGCTATCACATTAACTAACACGATCCTTGTTTTTAAATTATTTCATACCAATGTTGGTAGAGCGTGTAAGTGTTATGCTGCACAAATAAGAAGTTAGAAATATTTAAGTGCTTTAATTACATAAAGCACAAGAAGATGAGGAAAATTTTCTTTTTCATACTGATGTAGGGGGCAAAAATCCATGATGTTTTCTGAAACTACTGAAAATTCAAAAATGATCATGCTCTTAAAAAAAATCCACAAGATTTTCATGAGGCGTTTGTCTAAAACTCTGCATCACTTCATAGTAACAATCTTAACTCAGAGATTATTAAATTTTGTGGGTTTCAGAGAAGTGTGAAATACATAGAGGGTATATTACTCTTTATGCTGTAATTCTTCCGGGAATGAAAAAAGATATTTGATTTATAATAACAACACTGTAGCCACAAGAGCCGTAAGCTGTAGAAACACTGTGTGGTAGAATGTATTCAGTCTTTGCCAGTGTCAGCAGTGTCCTTTCTGGTGACTTGGTCCAGAGCCGTAATTTGGCATTAAGGGAGGGGAGAAAGGAACAACATTTAACTTCTTTGATATCTGTTAGTAAATTATGATTTCTTAAGTGTTCATACTATTTCTGAGCAAGGAAATGAAATTTTAGTTTAAGTTAAGATTAGTTTAATTTAATAAAAAGAGCTTTTGCTTAAAAATATTATCAAACAAGGTTGCTGATCTTGCCAGTAGTAAATCGATTGACATGTTACAATAATGGAAATCATCACAGTAATTTACCCAATTTGAAGTCACGATATAACACTCTAGTTGTCTATCTAAACTTATTTTAGCTTTCTGTTATTTTGCTAAAAATTACGTGAAAATATATAATATTGGATCTGGTTCATAACAGAAAAAAGTTTATTATACATATATTTTAGCAGCTGGAATGAGAAGATGGAAGAATAAGAAGGTCTTGCGCCGTCTTCTATTAAAATTAAAATTTCCTGAATCTTAACTCTTGATCAAAATTATCACCTCATTTATCACTTGGTAAAGCTTGGAAATTAGTACTGACTGTGGTAATCAGGAAATAAATTAGACACGGGATTTTTCTGAAATTGCAAGCCAAGATTTTGGACCCTGTAGTTTTCAAGAGGCCATAAACAAATTTGATATTCAGAAAACAAGGAGCGCTCACTTGCTGCAAGTTACATTCTTCTCACATGTGAAAAAATGATAAACACAATAAAAATCTTACCCTTACCTTTGGTGGCTTGAATGGATAATCAGATGAAAACGTGATATCCAGGAAAAAAACGCCTCCTTCATATACAGAACCTGGAGGTCCAAGTATAGTAGATCTCCATTCATAAATGTTATCCCCTTTAGGACCGGCACTGTGTAAAAAAAGAGGAGAGAGAAAGAAAGAGTCAGGTGTACCTTTGAGAGAGGCATTTTATAGGTTTCCTTCTACATTAATTTTGTTTAATAGAAACCACTTGCCTATCCTTAACATCTGCCTAATTTCCAACTGATTTCAGTGGGCTCAGTGTTTTAAACAGGCACGAAAGCTGGGCACTCTGCTGACCCTTTGGAGATACAGCAGTGAGACAGACTGACCATGATCTACTGGACTGTCGCTGCCTGAAACATACCCCCAGATCTGCTTTCTCGAGTATGTGGCTGCTCTGAGCTTCTACATCATGCCCTTCCAATGACATCATATCCATACACAAAAGAAGTTGTGTATCTTGACCACATTCATCTTCTCCAGGCATTAAATGGATCATAGCTTCATGAAAAAATGTGACTTACATGTATATTGATACACATTTATTGCCACAGGCTAGAGTGAAATGTTACACCCTTGGGCAGGAGAACTGGGGATGGGAGAGACCGAATCAAGCAACCTGGAATTGAGCTTCTTACAGCACTGTTAATCCAATAACTGTTTTCTTCAGGATGTATTTGTGTTACGCCTCCAGGCAATCAGCATTGAGACTACTAGCCAAAACCAGTTTATTTTAAGAAGTACAATACTGAACGCATTTCTCACTAGGGGAAGGGTTATTGCATAATTAATTATTAAAGTAAAGCTGTGAAAGAAGGGATAGTGAACAAGCATTTTCTCAACTTCTGAGATGTCATAATTAATGCTATTATCACACAGTAACTATGTAACCTCCTCACAAAAAAAAAATGAAAGCACAACCTTATTTCTGTAAGCAAGTGTCAGGGTAAAAACTAACCTAACCTTCCACAAAAGGTCCTGAGTCTGAACTGCTGAGACCCAAACTGACTGCTACGGAAAACACCACTGCTGAGCTCACACAGGCACGGTGGATTCGTCACATTTATGCAGCCAAGTCAGTAACGCAGCACTGTAAATGACCCGTTCAGTTCTCCCCACCTCAGCAGCCTCCCAGGCACCACTTACATCTCCCAGACACACGGTGAAGCGTCCCCATCCTTAATGGTTGGACTGGATGATCTTAAAGGTCTTTTCCAACCCAAACGATTCTATGATTCTGATTGTCCCTCAGCGGTCCCACGGAACAGGCACTGAGGACTGTCACATGCGACTGCACACGAAGCGAGCGGCAGGGCATGGCACCAAGCTGTAGCCTGGCAGTTTGTGGTTTCTGGCATTGCTGGACATTCAGAGGAGCCTCCCTGCAAGCCCTCCAAGAGTTAAGGCTCTTCCCATGTCATGTCACCTCATGTATTTGTCATACGTATGTCCGCAGTCTATAACATGGTATGTTGGACATTCATCCTTACTATGTAGCCAAACATGTGGAGGCACTCATCAGAGACAAGGAATATGAGCAGCCTGCACTATGCATCTGCAATTCCCACACCAAAAATTTAGCTATTTTTACATTAAGATAATATTCCAGAAACAACCAAAAACTAATTTGGATTATGAATTCCCTTTCAATTCATAATTCCCCAACATGTTTTTTATCTTGCGGATGTTTCACGTACCAAATATTTAAACTGTTGCAGGCCTTTCATTAACAGGACAAAACAATCATGGATTTTGGCTGACATCCTATTTAATTAAAAACAAAAAATTGTTTGATGGAGCTGTAGCTATTTTCCTGTTGCCAAAATGAAAGTAGGTAACAACGGCGTGCTGGCCTCCAGAGCACAGCAAAGAAAGAAAAACTAGAAGTGCTGTCAAAATAAAGTCTGGGTCTAAAATCACTGATCTTACTTTTCTATTTGCAATGCATGCACAGAAGTGGAAGAAAAACAGTAGATAAATTTTAGGGGAAAAAAGGGAAATCCAGAGGCAAGGAGGCCCATTTTGGATGATGTAATGAACCGTTCGTACCCTCAGTTACTCCACACGATAATTCCATTCATGCTCTCTAAAAAGCAATTAGTGTAAGAACTGAAAATATTGGGGCAATAATGACAATATTTAAAACCCAGACAGGCCACTGCAATGTTTTAATTAATTCTTGACATTCATCAAGCTTACGGCTAATTAGTATTGTGCTTGGAAACCAAATTTCTGTGGAGCAATTAAATTTCAGCATTGGATGTCCTAATGACTGTTCTATAGTTTAATGCAGAGGTTAGTGCTCTTGCCTCGTGTGTCAGGTACCTTTCTTTCATACACCTCTAACAGCTGGATGCAATTCAATCAGATTTAATGAAATAGCTGAATTAAATTAGTGACATATTTCAGCCCAATGAATCAGTCACAATTAAGTGCAGCACCAGTCCAGTGCCAAACTATCTGGTAATCACTCACCAAGTCAGAGCAAGGGCATCTATCAGCTAGTAGCCAGAAGCTAAGTGCAGTAACTCTCTGCCTATTACTATCTGCTATCCTCTTCTATGCTACCACTAGCAATATATAAAAGGATCGGGCTGTAACGTGAGAAGGGGAAACTCCTAACCTTGTAAGAGGAAGAAAACGCTGTGTTCGAAACCCCTCCTACTGCTAAGAAAAGATTGCTGCAATGTCAAAAGTAACACAACTCTGCAACGATAACCTCATTCAGATAAAGGACAAAATTGTTAAATTGGACAATTTTATTACATCTGATTGAGGTTTGTGAAATTTCTATTTAACAGCTGAAGTGGTGTCTCACTTCCACTGGTGCGAAAGATACCCGAGTCATTACAACCTGAAAATCCCCGCAATTACTACATTATTGGTGTGAGGAGACACGAGATTAAAGAGCAGAGGCAAGACACTTAGCTTCTACCACCTCTGTATTTCCACTGGGGATCATCCTCAGCCAGCCATACCCTATTTTGTCTTTTGTACACATACCAAGGTAATCTTTTTTGGAAGTAAACAAACCCACACTCTCTAAGGCTCAGCAAAACATTCCAGACCTACTGACGGCAGTCTCGGCCTCTGCAGTGACTTCCACAAGGACAGGAGACTGGGGTTGCACCCACTTGGACAACTGCAGAGAAGAGCAGAAAGCGCAGCCCTGGCTCAGGCAACAGCTCGGTTGTGTACAGGGCGAGCGAGTGCCGGAGCCCTGCTGCAGTCACTGCCTTCAACGCTGGCACCGCAGAGCATCACCCCGGTGCTGCAGAAACCCGTCAGGAGGGAACTGCCACTCCCTGGTGCAAAACTAACTTCTCCGTTCCCACAGAGGCCAGCAAAAACCCCGGGCTGAAACTGGGAATAAGGACGCTTTACTGTCCGCAATTTTCTATTACGTTGATACACCCAGAAGAAATACTCTCCTCCTTCTGCTGGGCACTAAAGAGGCTGGCATGGGAGGTGCTTTTAGGGGCTGTACTTGAGCTCTTTATTCTCCGAAGTTCTCCTGCTATTCAAGAGACTCACTCTCCTATTGCAAGCACAGGCTTCAAGCACCTCGCCTTAAACCTTGGGAGCTGTAGTGAGGGCCAGCCTAGGAACGTCTCTCGCCGTCTGCCACGCTGGACAGCGCACCCCAGGCAGAGCGCTACAGTGGGGAATCGCCATGGTTTTCTTCCCTTTCCTTTTTCCATCACTGGAAGACCCAGCTCCTTCTGCCTTCCCCACAGAATCCATATGGACACAAAATCCTCCTCTATTCTGTCCTTTAAAATACAAAATCCTGACAGAGCAACGAATCTGATGACAACTTCGGTGTTTTGGCTACAAAGCGTGTATGTGCAGTTCATTGCTACCAGCCTGCTGCCCTCCTAAATTAGCTTACAGAACACCACAAATTCAGTAAAGGCACCACCAGTACATTCTCAATACAAGAACCACTTGAACAATATTTTAAAACACGAGCTAAAAAAATCTCAGACAAAATAAAAAAGCAAATTAACTGAAATGACAAAATATTCTTTGCAAAATTAAGGCAGTTTTACTTCATACATAAAAGCTGGATTGATTTTTTTTTTTTTTTAGTAAGTTAGATAAATTGACCGAATAAAGTTAACTGGCTACATCTGCTTCATAAGTAAATACTCATTATGCCACTTCACTGAGGGATATATACCTGATCCAGATAAGACAAAGGATTTATAATCATGCTCTATCCAAGCTAGTCCGCTGAACAGATTTAATTTACTAGTGTGACTTCAGATGGTGAATTTGAGAAGACATGAGGTTAAACTCTAGGGGCCCATGGGGTCACACCAGGTCCTTTAAAC